CCCCGTAATTTTAGGCCGGTCCTGCGCACCTAGTGCCTGGAGTTAAACCAACTATACCCATTCAACGTATAATAATGAAATGGTAGTGGTTGAATTTCAACCACTACCATTTCATTATTACCGATCCTTAGATTCTAGCCCGCCTGTCATTAATTAACATCTGTTCAAATAATCAAGAAAAGGTCACTTACCACGTGCATGACCATTACGTTCACTAAATAGCTACCTAAAATTAACACCGTGTAATACATTTAATTCTTATTATGATTGTTTAAGGAGGTTAACTACCACGAGATTAACCAAACGTCGCCAACTTCGTGATCAATCCAGAGAAGTGCGTATAGTCACCAGGGGCGTAACAATTTAAAATTGTTTATAAATTCAAATACTTTAACTTTGTAGCACACTGAGAAAAAAAGTAATTTACAAGATGCTGGTTAAATTACATCTGGTTCTTTTTTCTAAAGTATTGTAAAAATCGCACGAAACTTACGTCATGTTAGCTAATCAATTATTTGAAACAACATTGGTAATATTGTAGAACGATATTTGGTTGATACAACTTAAATGCTGGTGAAGTTAACAATTTACCATTGTTAAATGTACCAGACAATCAATTTACTTAAATCTAGTAGATCTACCTCGAGCAAATTGTTAATTTAACCCAATTTGTGTATGTAAATTACACAGAGTTAAGTTAAGAATACTTAAATGTTAATGTGAATTCTACCAGATGATGTATAGTTAAATCTAACAATCTGTTAAAAATGAATTGTTAATTTAACGCCATGGGTGTGTGTATTTTACACAAAGTTATGTTATACAGACTTATATTATGTTAATGTGGATTTTACCAGACGAAATATAGTTAAATCAAAGTATATTCAATAAAAAGTCTTGTTAATTTCAAATAAAGTCTGGTAAAATCAACTTGTGCAGGGTAAAGGATAGCTAAGTACGCATTGTTTTTTCTTGCTGATCAGAACACGCACAGTGTCGCAGTAATCAAATCTCAACAACGGTTTCAATGATCAAACGTCTCTTTGGAGTTCTTGTGCTGGTGCTTCTTTACTATAACGGGGAAATTGACCAATTTATAGTTACATATTTCAAATATATTTCATATTTCTCCTTGATAAGCGATGGTCATTAGTCATACAGTGAGTGATTGGTTTCTGTATATGTCTACTCCTGCGCATCATCCGATAACAACGGTAAGTACTTATAAAAAATTAAATGTTACGTAGCTTTGGGAGGTATGAATGTATACCGGGTGGTGCCTAGCGCGACGCAGCATAGGGATTTCAATGGTAATTTCTTTATAGTCAATTACTAGCTCCCCTAATTATTTTAGAGCAAAAGTCTAAATAAGTTTTTTTTAGAGAAAAAAATACTGAATCTGTTCATGCTATTACTCATAATTTTCCGTTTTTCAAAACCGTAGAAATCGATAAAATAAAAAGGTTCATTTTACAATAAATCAAATATGCCTTGTGACCTTATGTCAAGCGTTCTTGCGCCTTTAATACCTAAGGATAAACCCTGTAAACATCTGTCAATGTGTAAAATATTTCGGATCATATCAATGGTATTATATACGTTTGTTTGCAAAACACTGCGCGCCTTCAATAAATTGCTCACCACAACTTCTATTATTTATTATAAGTTTTTCAAATTCTTTCTTTCAGTTTCAGTCTTATCGTTTTGAGGTACCTAGACTCACAAAACACGTTTGATGACCTAGATCTGCTTATATTCTGGACAATTGGAGACCATGACCTTAACGATTATCTAACTAACTCCTGCGTAAGTAGTATGCAGTAGGAATGTTTAATAATTTAAATGTATTATTAGTAATTATATTTTGTTTTTGTAAAAAGTATAATATTTATTATAAAATTAAATTTTCCTTTTTAGGTTTTTTTAGTGCTTTTATTTTACGATTCCTTTTTACGTTGCAGACGTTGCAGGCAGTATAACTAAAATTCTACATAACGTAATTTACATACATTTTTTTGAATGGAAGTTTTAGTTAAATGTGTTCAAATTGATTCTTTGGCAAAAAATGTATATATCTACCTAACACCTGACCTAATATTATATGAATGTGTTATTCTGAAATTCATCTTTTATAATCGTAATATCAACTGGGAAGTATGGTACATTCGCTAACATGCACCGCCAAATGAAAGGGTAGGTATAACGCTATTGGACTGCAAAGGCTACAAAAATCCGAAGATAATATGAAAAATATGGAAAGGCAATTTTACTTTATAAACAATGCAGGCTCAACTATATATGGTTGTCAACTCGTAGTAAACTTGACATGATTCCTAAAGGGTAATTCTACTAGATCCTTGGTAATCAATCAAAATGTATGGTAAATTTTGCATGACACGTCGAGTTCAACTCATTAAAATATCATGTTGATTTCACAGTACCTGGTAAAATTCACTAAAAGCGGATCACTGACCATACAAATGGAAAGTTAATTTTACTTTTCAGTAATGCAAAATCAACCAAACAACCCGCCAGTATATAGTACCTAAATGTGATAATCGGAGTGGGTTAATTCTGCTTGATATTTCGTAATGTCAACAAGATGGTGTCAAGTTAATACCACATGCGCTATTGTAGTATTTACAAGACTTAAATACAATCGTGTGCTATATGTATGGTAAATTTTATCAGACAACTTCGTGTTAACTAAACTTTTAATTGTTAAATCTACTATAATTCCTTTACCCGAGCTATATTGTAATTGTAACACACATGTTATGCTGTCCCCTTTTTTTACCATAATTCATGGTAGTTTTAACATGATTATGGTTAACTTGACCATCTTTTTTTCTCAGTGCAAAGACAAATATAGGTATATATCACGCGGTTCCCGCTTGTAACTTGTTTTATAACAGAATCCTGCTGCGACTTGAGTTATCCGAACCAGCACTTCAAACTCTCAATTTTCCAACCCCGATTCCAGTAGACGTGGAAAATTGGGAACCTTATAACAGTGAGATCATCCTGAGCCGTTTTGATCGTGTAAACCTTATTTAGACAATCTTATATCTACTCTCAATGCCCGACAGATGGAGAATTGGAGACCAACCCCTTCGAAACGCCATTAAATGGTCACAACGCGTATAGAACTCAATGACGTATAAAATAAAGGTTGCCTTAATCTAGATTAAATTAAAATTTTGGAATAATCGACCCTTCAATTCGAACATCTTGTATATATCTACCCTCTAGTAGCCAAAACATGAACGGCGTAACCCTAGCCAAATTCTACCTTAAACCTTACAAAAATTTAAAAAAATTAACCCCATTGAAAGGCTCCTATTACAGTACATGTAACATGGGGATTTAGATGTATCGATTCTATTTAACTGCGTGAGACAGTCAGAAATCAAAATAGATGAAAGGGTAGTTTTACACCACTGTGCAGGTAAGTAATCGGTACACAAAAAAGAGAAATGTCAGGGATTCTCCATTCGGATTTTATTGCATTTAAGTCTTTTTTGGTGTAGGTTGGGCCAGAATTTAATTGTCATTAAAAATAAAAGGAAAACAAATCAAAAATAGGGAAGCGAGTTCCTACGAGTTCAAGTGTCAGTGCTATTGCATATGAGCCGAATTAAAAGTCGTGCTTCCGAATGCGAGCCGAGTGTCAAAAAATTCCCTTACTGAAAATCGTATGCGACTCTTCGTACCATATCTTGTTAAATATTGAAGGTATTAAAATAGAGAAATTCGTTATTTAATATTTAGAAAATTTATTAAATCATGACAAATTTTTGCGTATCTCGCCAATTGAAAGAGATATTGAGGTGGCCTCTTACCTTACGCACTGTAAGGCATTTTTGTGGTCATTTTCAATAACTAATTTTTTTGAAAGATGAAGTTACAGTCTCAGGGTTTGTCAGTGAATAATCGACGGGGTATCTATTCCGCGTCCTATGAATAAAGACGAGAGACTATCCGGCGGTGTGAGACCGAAGATGACAGGTGAACAAGTCGACGATACAGCCTACAAATAAGTAGTAGGTAATCCTCAGACTCTATCCGACTGGGTTTCCCTTCAAACCCTTTAAAGTTGAAAATTGAAAACATGATCGGTGCGAAGGGATGTTTTCCAACAGTTTGAAAACAATCGCCAAAAGTCCTTCGCCACCGCCGCCACCGAGTTCGTAGCTACCTATGTTACACCATTGGTTACATGTAGTCGGAAGTTTACCCATTTCACGTCTGGGTGGCTGTCTAGGTCTATAGCTAGATGGTAGTGTTTCCAAAAAACTAATCCGACTCCGTCATATCAATAACTTGATCACCGGGTCTACATCCATAGCTTTCGAAGTCTTTAAGTTCAAATTAAGACGAAAGACGAGAATCTGACCGTTTAATCAAATTTACATGGAGGAAACTACGGTCTAATTTCATTGGGTAATGGGATTAGAGTGTAATCAACTTCTGCTAATAAACAAAGTAGGTACTATACATTGTAAATTACTTTATCCCCAAATTGGCAGGTAACAGGTGTTGTGTAAGCGAACTATTACAGAAATAGTGAAATTGATTCATCTGTGTTTTAAACTCTTGCCCTGGAGGAACTACCTACCAGTGAAAGCTACGCTTGCTTGATTTTAATGAAATACAGAAAAGACCGTTGACACCTGGGAAGGACAGCGAGTTGTGCAAGTAACCATCAAAAATATTTTTAGAGATGGCCAACGCGGTCCAATTAGATGCAGCACGCGTTTTCTGTAGTAGTTTTCAGGTCAAAGTTGAAAATTCCCAGCAATTTCATTCTTTTACGCCGTGATTCGTCAAGCGCGCGTTTTATAACTGTTCTAAATGGTTTCTTCTAGGTTTTTTTCCTACGGCTGCAAGCTAACTTCTCTATTGCACTACTGTCTACGTGCAGGTAGCGTAGGTAGGATGCCATGTCATGGCCCCTTCCATTTCATATCGCGGTCTCCTGTTTCACCATCACGGGTGTCGACTTTTTCAACAACAAAGTAACTTTAGTTAGTTAGATTAAAACATCGCACTCACTCCATACCTTTCTACCTATGCAATTAAATCTCATCTTTTCCCGTCCATCACTAAGAGCAAGAAAATTGCTTCGTAGTAACAGTTAATAGAATGTAGTCTGGAAAGCCTTAATTATAATATAGATAACCTGTGTGAATCATGACGTGTCTTTTAATAAATAACGAATGTGTGCGTAAACAAGTTAAATTCCGCAAGTGCAACGTTGCCACTAAAAGAATGTAAAAGGTAAAATTGGGTGCGCCAAAGAAACGCTTCGGTTGTTTCCGTATTCAAATGAATTTTGTATTACCCGCGAAAACTCGAATCAACGTTCTTGTGTACAAATTCTAAATAATTCTATCGATTTCTACCTCTAAAAACACAATGCTTCGATTTGGAGGAGTATGTGCTTGCTTGTGGCAGTTGCGAGATGCCGTGTGTAGCTGAGGTTGTTTTGCAACAGTGGTGGCCTTGTTTTTAATTTGCCGGTGTGTGGTGGAATCGAGTGTTTACGTTTTTTAAAAAATGATTTGAAGTGAAATGGCGGATAAGAAGTCCCTATATTCGACATGCGTAGCGATCCTGGGGTTTGTTTGTTTCGTCGTTGGCGCCACCGCAATCGGTGTTCCGATGTGGGGATACTTCGATACGCCTAACGGTAAGTCAAAATATTCGAAGGTAAAATCGTTTTACCTTTTGGTGCAGTTATAAAGAAAGTTACAGGCACAATATAGAATGTAATCTGATTCTTTCTTTGTTTTGGAAGTCAAGTGTCTATCAAAATCCCTAGCACAATGCTTTTTTGGTAGGTAGGTACCTGCAAATACCGAGATTATTTGACGTATTTTAATGGCCAATTTAATTATAATTACCTACTTTAATTAGTGATAGTGGGAAAGTGAAACATTACCTACAATACCTATGAGTTATGACTTAATGTACGAGACTTACTTACGTGCTATTTTTTACTTTAAACGCTATTCCAGCATCGTTCAATTGCGTATAAGCTTTAAATACTGAAATCGAAAGAATAATTTCAATGAGCTGTTTATCAAAATGCAAATATGTATCGCAAAGGGACTAGGGAGTCAAAATGAAGTAGGGAATTTATCTCGGAATTTATGCAGTGGCATCATAGTGGTAGAAAGTTGTTAAAGTTGTTCAAATGTAGGTACGTACTTATACCTACAGGTTAGTATAGATAACTTGGTTCAGATTCTGATATTAGCAAACAATCTCTTCTGGTGCTATTACCTATAGCAATCGATTACGATCGATTTCAATGAGTAGGTATGATGAGATTACCTATATTTGAGTCTAACCATGAAGTCTACCTTGAAATATTTATGACTCGTTTATATAAGTACTCGAGTTCGAAAATTCCACACGAACCTTATCCAGACAATTAACAAAGAACTGGAAAGGCATCAATTGATCAAGTGTTGGCAGCATACATATCAAATATAGAGGCGTGTCTCGAAACAGTGAAGATTTTTGCGTCCATTCAATCGGAACTCAAAAAACGTTTTGTAATAATACGTCCCAGAAAACACCGTAAAATTAGAAGTAACATCATAGCGAATGTCTTTTAGGGTTCGTTCTTCAAATTTTTTTCGTTACTTGCAAAAGACTGGTGGCTAATGCTAATATCATTCATCATAAGTTTTGAGGTTAATTCTCGACGACTAAGGCACAAACCGAGGCAGAAACTCATGCCATAGGTTTAGAGGAAGATGCATAATTTTTACTCGCTTTTTAGCGCTTCATCCAGTAATCATGAAGGGTCAACGTGCTAGCGGTTCTCTTTCTTTGAAGCTTCTATCTGTAATTGCACCCCTATGCAAATATTGACGCAAATATCCTCCATTACCATGTGTTACCTCGCCTGTGCTTTGTTCTTTAAATTGTATCAAAAGGAGACCCTCCTCCGATAAACCCGAGGATAAACTGTTTTCGTGATATTCGCTTTTAAAATTTTGACATCACCAATGGATATATTTCTCCCAGGCGTCCAATTGAGTAGCCTTCTCCGACAACCCACCCTTCAGACAGAACAAATTATCACAGATAACGATAAGGGGTCGAGGAGGAGGAGTATATGGTTGGTAGGTCATCGAGACCTTTCATTGGAGTACCATGAAGAATAAAGCCAGTGTCTCCCCCCTCGCCCTCAATTTTGATAGGCGGTAAGAGAGAATGACGATAGTGTCCCCCCCCCCCTCCATTTTCAAAAGATTTACATGTCACAACTAGAGACTTATGCGTATGCAAAATCTTAGACAAATTGGTCACGTTTTACTCTTAAAAACAGCATCTCGGGAAATAATTCGTGGGAGGCGCCCTCTCATAAGACAACAGAATTGATAGCCATCTGGCACACCTTCAAGGCTACCTATTGCAAAAAATTCCAGAGCTCTAGGACCATTCAAATTCAACACGGGAGAAGTGGGTCCGTACCGATGTCCGTACAGACGGACGGATGGGCTGGATATTGAAGACCCGGAAACGATTGAATTCGTGTTCTTACAAATTTGGGTTATAATGTAGAGAAGAATTGAAATATCGAATAATAAAAAAAATTCAAAATTTTCATTTAAATTTGTTGCATTTTTTAAAAATTATTCTTTCTTAACTTTTTAATTCGTTTTTGAATGTTCTTGAATTTTTTTAAAAATCATCCGAGAATTTAATATGCTATCTTTTTACATTAAAAAGGGTGTTCTATTTAAAAAAAATGAGGTTAGGTCCGGTAACTTTTTTAACTGACATCGTATACTTAGGTACTTATTTTTAAATAAAATAAACGTTACAATCAGCCCCGTTACCAGGTACCTACAAAAGTAACAACAACATTGTTTCTGTTTTCTGCCTATAAAATAGGTACCTACCTATACGTTGTCACTTTTTTTAATTTGTCCTTTGCAGGATTTTTTTCAGTAAACGTAGCCTTTTCTAGCATCACGCCCTGTATTTTGAAGCTCGTTTTGAAGTTTTCATTAATAGTCTCGTGAAATAAGCCCGAAAATTGAAAGTGGCGGAAATAATTTATTGCCAGGGGCATGTTGCCACAAGGATTCTACTGAAGGTTACATACCTTACCAATTGATTATTTAGAGTACTTTTGGTTCAAAAATATTAAAGGGCGTCTGAGTTATAACGAGTGTCATCTAAAATTGTGAGAACTAGCCCCGGTCTCCACTAATGTAAAGAGAGATTTAATTGAGCACGACGAAAGTAGTCTTACTGTAGAAAAGTTAACATTTTTAGTCGCCCAAATGAATCCATGATTCTTTAATTAGCCAAGTATAGTTTTTGGATATAGGTATAGAATGCATTTTATTGATTTTTTTAACCCAATTTCTCAGTGCGAACGCGTACTAGGACAACTTAATCCACATGAAGGAACACTAGCATATTTATCATGAAATGCCTAGTTTTAAATCAATGTATTCATTGGTTAATAATACCCAAATATATAACAATGTGTTATGTTATAGAAAAATACGTTGACCAATAGATTGTTTACCACCACCTCCTCCCCTAAATGGGATTTGTATAGATGCTCACATTCCCTATTGGCTGGTACTACAGAATAATAAGAAGCTTAGGTATATAATAATCCTTCTTATTTTTCTGTTGGCTAATAGGTTGTTATGCCAACTTTTCAAAACAATTTCGAATTTAAATATGGCTGCCTACAAAATGACGGACCCATGTAGTACATAAACTATTTACATATTGCAATTTGCAGGCTAAGTAGGTAAGTAACTGCAACCTTGTTAATATTTGTACGACTAATGAAAGTAGGTATGTATACAAATTAGCAAGTGGCTAAAGATCAGATGTTCTGTATTTATTTTACACTTCCGGTCCTCTGTTGCTACCTGTTACTACTTTCATTGAATAAGGTTCAGACTCGACCTATTCAATGATGCTATACTTTACAAGGTTGCATGTTTTTTCTTGGTGCATATTTTCACATTTATAATCTCTAGGGTACTTAATCCTGTTCCTTATATCGAAAATCGTGTATTATCTTTGCGTAGGTATACCTACACTCACTATATAAATTGTAACCGTAACAAACACTCCCAGTATCTATACGTTATGTAGTTATATATCTACTGCCACGATTTATTGTTTGATTAAATACAATTGACAATAGGTGATTTTATACAAATCTGCTCCTTTTATGGCAACCAAACTCTCACGATCAGTTTTCTACCGGAAATTACACTTCTGCCATTTTCTACTAAAAAATGGGCGTCGCAAATTAATTTATGCACACAAGTTTTTGTTTTAGTTTAGAAAGTGACACCGTAAATCGTTTGTATCGCACCAATTTTAATTGTCCTCAATTCGAATTTTTTGTTTGTTGTCGCTCTTTCTATAGGTACTAAATTCTTTCATGTAGGAATTCACACCTTTCATCTAAGGGAACGTCATGAGATAATTAGCTCATTAGATACCTGGGGTCATTGAAATTCGTGCGCAGTGTGCCCACTGACAGTCTTCGTTACCTAAAGCAAATTAAACAAATTCACTTTAGATACGTCGATTCGAACGGGATTCATTTATCCGGATGACTCATTGAGAATTTAAAATCGTGCCGAAAAGTCGGATGTCGAATCACATTTTTTAGGTCAAGTAGCCGTTAAGTATACAAATTTAATTCAAAATTAAAACGGATATTTCTTAAACCCTTTCGCCTCGTAATTTATTCAGTCCCATTAGATTTTCTCATCGGGGTGGTTTCCATTAAAAGCGAGTAGCAAAGAATCTGTATCAAGAGGAAGTAACTAGAATAGGTTAATGTTAATGTACTGGCGTTTATTCAATGTATGTCTGACATCCTGCAATTAAAAAATATTTGAAATAGTCAAATATTCTATTCATATATTAAAAATTGGATATCCACTTTAATTCCAAGATTCATATCATAGGTATATACTTTGCGTCCTTCATGACGACTGTTCATGAAATTACTATAAACTCGGGAAATCTCGCGGGAAATCTTAGTCATTTCTCGGATTCTGGATTAAAATAGGAGGGTGGACCGGTGGACGGTTCGGGGGACATTCACAAAGTATAGGTGGTGCGCTTTCTCGTCGTCTATAGGTATTATATATGTAACATCATTTACAATGTGATTCTATAGCAAACTCATCCGGTGCATGTGCTTGTTTATTTTACAGTGCCCATCATTATGCCCATACAAGTATAATCTTGAGTTCTTTCTTGATATCCCTGATAGCGAGCTTGATAGTTTTGTTATTTCCTTGCCTTATTGAACAGTTTGCCCAGCGGAGATATTTGCTTTTCTAGCGCACTGCATCTGCACCAAGGATGGTTAGGTATAGAGCTCGGTATAGAGAGAAGATGCTTCGCCCTGTAAGTCAGCAGAACTCGAGAGATTGCTCTCTAGGTTTTTTTCCAAGGAGATGTTTGTAAAGGAGGACATCCGTTACCTCGGGATTTCGATACCCCTTTTGGACGGCTCCCTTGCAGTGAATTTTATTAGTGAATTTCAAATGAAATTGTTCTATGATCTGGCTTAGTCGCTTCTGGAGTGACCTGCCAGTTCGATATACCTATGGTCAGTGATACTCGATGATTCCATAAATAACAGATTGAACTCACAGGAAAATATGAATCCTC